AACGGTCGACTGCAGTGAGGCAGTATGTGTAGCCCCCTGACGTCGGAAGGGGTCCAACAAGGTCTATGTGGACGTGAAAAAATCTGGCTGCCGGCGTTGTAAAGTCGCCCAGTGGAGTGACTGTGTGGCGGGAGACTTCGGAGCGCTGGCAGGCCTGGCAAGCACGTGCCCAAGTGCGGCAATCTTTCTGTACGCCTGGCCACACGAAACGCTGTGCGACCAGTTTTGCCGTTGCTTTGGTCCCTGGGTGCGACAGATCATGGACAGACTGGAACACTTCGAACCGAAGAGGAGCTGGGATGTACGGCCGAGTTTTCCTGATAGGGGTATCGCAGTAGATGGACACCGTGGTACCGGGGATTGGTAGCTTTCCGAGCCGCAAAGCGGTGTTTGACTGCCGAAGTGATTGGAGCTCGTCGTCGCTGTCCTGCGATGCGGCCAATGCGTCGTAGGATGGTGGCGCCGTGACGGATTCGACGCGGGAGAGCGCGTCGGCAACAACGTTGTCCTGTCCCGAGATGTGTCGGATGTCGGTCGTGAATTGTGCTATGAAATCCAGGTGGTTGAATTGCCTTGGTGAGCATTTGTCCCTTTTATGCTGGAAAGCGTAGGTGATAGGTTTGTGGCCTGTGAAGATGCTGAAGTGGCGCGCTTCCAGCATGTGGCGAAAGTGCTTTACGGCCTCGTAGATGGCCAGCAGCTCGCGGTCATACGCACTGTATTTTTGCTGGGCCGGGTTGAGTTTCCTTGAGAAGAATGCTAGGGGCTGCCAGGCGTTCTTGACGCGTTGCTGTAGCACGGCACCTATGGCGGACGTGGAGGCATCTGTGGCGAATGCAAGTGGCGCGGATGGGTCGGGGTGAGCCAGTAGTGTGGCGCGTGACAAACTCGCCTTGCACTCTTCGAAGACCTTGTGGAGCTCCGGTGTCCAAGTGATGGGGTGGGAGCCCTTGACCTTGGGTCCGGAGAGGACGTCGTGCAGTGGGCTGTGCCCTCGCTGGGCTGTCGCCCTCGCCCGTGGCTGTGCTGTAACCGTCACCGGTCGCTGGGTTGTCGTACTCGCCACTGGCTGTACTTTAGCGGTCGACGGTCGCTGGGCTGTCGCAGGTTCGCTGTGCTCTCAGGGTCT